TAGGGGTTTAGACTTCCTTAAGCATTTTTGAACTCAAAAATCTGAGGGAGAGCTCTAGAGGGAGAGAGACTTCAATTGTAGAGAGAGAAAGAACTTGAATTTGAAGAATTTTGCTTAAAGATTGAAGAATTGTGAAGTTCAACTCAAGAACTTGCTAAATTGAGCTTAATTGAAGACCTTAGGTAAGCTTTTGAAACCTAAATCATGAGTTTAAATCATCAAATATGTGAATTCAAAGAGATTATGTGTTTAAATGTAAGAATTGAGTTTGAATTGTTGAATTTAAAGTCAGTTCATACATGCATGCATAGTTTTGTTGAATTTCCTCATTTATATGGGCATGATTTTGACTTCCATGTTGAATTTAGAAGATGAATTGTACATGCATGCATGGTTCACAAAGTTTTGAAAGTAAATTGCATGATTTTGAAGCTTTGGAAAAGAGTTTGGAAATAATTGATGCTTGCATGGGAATTTTGGTTTCAATTATGAAGTTTTAAGCTTCAATTTTGCAAAATCATGAAGTTTGATTTAGTAATTAGCCATGTACTCATGTTTTGGAAGAGTTTCCAAGGTTTTGGGTTGCATGATGCAAGAATTCATACTTTGAACATGTGTTTGAAGCTCAACTCTGTTATGGAATTTCCAGAATTTTGTCGCACCGCTCGAGAGAACAATATGTCGCTCGAGCGCACATCTCATGCATCTAGTATTTTTGTAGACAATTGTAGTTGGCTCAAGCAACCAAGTCACTACTCGAGAGACCGTCTTTTATTTTGCACCTTGGCTCGAGCGAACATTGAACCTAACCATCCAGTACTTTTGTAGACCAAGTAGTCCGTTCGAGCGACCAATGCTACACTCGAGCGAAGTGCTCTATTTCAACAAATTTTGAAAAGACATATTCTAATCAAATGTGCATTCTCATTCCTGTCTGAGCATTCTTAGCCATGAATTAAACATCCTAAATGAATTAAAGGGAATAGAATGAAGCCTAAGAGAATTGAATAAGTTAAAGAACAATCCGATTAAGCAATGTAATTCAACGTTTGTATGTTGATGTATTATGTAGGATCATCTGCAAGAACAAGTCAACAACTGAATCATTGTGAATAATATCTTAGTAAAGATATTTTCTTACTTTATTTTTCTGAATGTCCTTACGTGATAAGCAAGGTTTTAAAAAGCGGCCGCAACCGTTACGTAACGCCGTTACATAACGATTGTGGTGAATACCGCCACCCGTTACGGCCACTTTTGCAGTGTGATTGAGATTCACAAGTGTGTCGCGTATACGGCTGCCGTAGCGGTCGTAACGGTGCCGTAACAGCCGTAACGGTCTGTACCGCTTCTTTCGAAAAAACACAAAAAAAAAAAAAAAAAAAAAAAACTGAAAATAGGGGAAGAGGGATATAGAGAAGAGGGAAGATAAAGAGCGAAGATGAAGGAGCAAGAGATAGAGAGAGAAAGAGAGAGAAGAGGGAAGATAAAGAACATGTTATTGATTTGTTGAAGCTGTAAGACCTATGCTATTCTATTCAGCTACTATCACTCAACCATTTTGTTTGTGTGTGTCTATCTATATATTATTTGAAAATAATAATAATAATAATAAGTGTGGTCATTATCTATTTGGCTTGGTTAAAATATGTATATATATATATATATATTTAGGCTCTTATTTATTCTCTTACTTTTGTAATTGTTTATCTTATATATAATAGTTAGTGATTGATTTTTTGTATAATATAAAGTCATTAATTATTAAAATAAAATGTAAAAAACTCTGCTTATAGTGATTTAAAAATATGAAATATATTGGATCATACTTAAAAATTTACAAAAATTTATCAATATTTATTTTAAATCCAATAAATATGATCATGGAAAAAAAATATGCACATCGGTAAGTTTTTTTCAAATTGTGCGAAAAATAAAAAAATTCACGATTCCGGTAACCACAACCATTACGCTACGGCCTTTACACCCCGCAACCGCAACCGCAACCGCAACCGCACCACCTCCACCGTTACGGCGACCGCAACTACTTTTCAGAACCTTGGTGATAAGCCTTTCCGAAATTGTGATTCTGTAAGCGTGAATGAGTTTCTATTTGTCTAATCAATATGATATCTGTAAATGTGATTGATGTGTCACAAATAAATGTGATGGACCCAAGGTCGTTCTGTACATTTGGTAAGATGGACCCAAAGTCCTTCTGAACATCTGATAAGTTTGATTATCTGTTATGAGTTGACCGAATGGTCATTATACAGCTGTAAATGATTGGATCCGAGGTCATTCTGTTATGATATAATCAATTCCATTCTGTACAACTGATGGACCCAAGATCGTTCTGCTATCTATTGGACCCAAGATCATTCCATTATGTAATGCTTATGATATAGAAATGCTTATGTCATTTACTAGAACTCATTCACATAAATCCTTTATTCTAATGTTATTCACTGGGCTTTCGCTCACTCTGTTATATATATGTATGTAAGTAAGCAGCGGGATATCCAACCCCAACCTTAGTGAACCTGTGAAGGAAACCAAGTTTTGTGAACTATGTTATGAGCGCTTCACGAGCAAGGCTTTCGTTCTTTTGTCTTTTGGATTTCTATTTTCTTTTATTGGTCATGTTTGACCTTGTATATATACATAAGTTCTATTTTGGTATGACAATGATGTTTGAAAGGTCTTGGACACGTAGAATTTTATTATGTTTGTATGGGTGTGAGTTATTAATATAAAAGAAGTTTTGTTTATGCCATTTATGCACAGCTTACTGGGCAAATTTTATAACTCTGCTTCCATTTCTGGCCCCATATGATTAATTTTGATTTGATTTCTGTCCGAGGTCGTAGGTAATCTCAAAATTACTGACCAATTATGATCCAGACCTGTAGGGGCGGATTCGGGTCATGACAGTACTTTTACCATTTTAACTCTCTGGATGAGAGTTTTTATCTGCCAAAGAGAAATGATAGAAGAGGCGAAGGCATTGGATGAAGTTCAATTGAAGAATTTCATTGTTGTATTTGTTTTTATTTGTTTTTATTTTTTTTAGATAACTTTTTAATAAAGTTTGGTGACTTCAATTCGGGTTTCCTAGGATGCCTAAAATTAGGCTTATCTGAAAATTATGCCTAAAATTTCAGAGCCTCTTCATCGCCTATCTTCTCCTCCCCAGAACCAAAAACCAGAAAATCAAACATACCTGGTAGTAGAATCACCATGATGTTTCTATTCATTGAACAAATCTCCCCAAGCCCACCTCCAATAGGTCTTTGTTTGAACAAATGCCCCAACCACCACAGGCCTACCTCAAACAGACCTTGGAACATATGGCCCAACCACATGTTTGGACTTCTCCGCTGAACTAGAATTCAAATTAAATAACCCAATAGATGCAAAAACAGGCCCATAGCTAACATTTCTCAAACCACGACACAAGCTAGCCCCTATTCCACAGTCTGACGCAACTAATTATAACAAGGCTTCTGCGGATCCTCATCCATCCTCCAAACCCAAAGTTACCAACACCTTTCCTAACCCACGGGCATGACCCTAAAATTATAGATCTTAAGCCCAACGCTGACTCCACCTTTATAAATCACCAAATGACCACCGCGTACTTGCCCAAGAATGAGTCACTTCTTCAACTAAGTTCTCAATGAGTCCATAAGAAGTGATCCCATTTTTTCAATCGGGTTTGGGTAGGGTAGAGACCAAAGATCTTGAGAGACCGATCAGACAGAACAACTCAAAAGATCCTGAACCAATCTTACCTGGGCTCACAAATCCTAAGTTTGTCCCCTACTTCCCTTCAAAATTAGAAACCCAAATTCTAGAGACCACCACCACACATGACCTGAGCCACCATCCACTGCACAAGAACCACCATTCATGTTCACATCACCCCCACTTGCCTTCCATGTGTGCATCTCATGCTCCCTCCCTCCCCTGAACCCTTCTTTCAGATACTGACCATCACAAAATCTCCTAATGCTACCTCACTATGGAATCTACCCACCTTACCACACCCAAATACTCTCAAACCCAACAGCCCTTAAGAATTTCCTACATTATCAATAACTTTCCCAACCCCCTCCATCTTCCCATTCTTCACTGCCACCACTTCCAACTCTCTCACCAGCCCACTGGACTCACCCATACTACTAACCACCACCACATCACATTCCTTCAAACGAACTTAAGATTAGCAATTTCGCATAGCAAGGAACCTCACTCTACCAACCACCACGCCTCTTGCCTGAGCCACAATTATTCCTCTAAATGCCACCTCCTCTGGCAGCCACCACACTTATCTTTCTGGAAAAACTATTTAGCCATCTCACCTCAAAATGAAACAACAGAGCACCTCGACTTGAACAAAGAGAGCCAAATTGAAAAAAGAAAAGTGGAAAAGAAAGAATAAAAGCTGAAGGAGATCGAAGCCCAAGATGAAGGGCCTCAGTCTCGATAATTAGATCACAAACTGCAGTAACTTTCTCCTATTGCTACCTTGACGGAGAAGATGATCGCAGATCTCAATTGCCCCTCTAGCCACAACTTCTTTCAATTGATTCCCTCACAACCCTTAGCAAATTTTTATGCATTGTTTTGAATATCATATTTGTATCAATTACCGTTAAATCATGCCAATAGTACCAAACAATTTGAAGTATTATTATTATCATTATTATTGTTACAACAAAATAAATAAATAAATAAAAAATAAAATAAAAAGAAGATAATATTTCACCAATAACATGGATATGTCAAAATCTCATGAGAATGACAAAGGAAAAGGCAAAATGCATAGGAAGTGTAAAAGAATGCTATGTTTAGTCAAGCAGAGCTACCTTAATAACCACATTATTTTGTTACACTAATAACACAGTAGCTGAAGCATATGAGCATGCACTTTCTTAAATGAATAGAAATAAACACGGATTGTAGTAGACTAATAGATGAAAGAAGTCATTACTTACACCAGTACGCATCTGATTCAGTCCCCCATTACTCCTCACAGTCATATAGCGATCCCATCCTTGAGTGGCTGAGATTGCAAAATCAATTTTAGAGGGCTGAGAGAGAGAAAGAAACATAAACTTTCACGCCCAAGTTACAAATTTAGAGAGATTGACCATAATGAAAAGAAACCTAGAAAAATAAGACATCTATTATGCACAAGACCAATAAAAAAACTTGGAGGCCTAAAAGGCAAGGTATGCCCTTGCAAGATGCTCAGCAACTTCTGCTCCCACAAAAGTGCCAGTGATGCAATTCCAAAATGTCTCAGGTACAGGTAAGAAATCCCAAAATCAGTACACGAGAGATAAGGTAATGAGATAAAACCTTTATATTTAGCGGTAGGTTTGACACATGGCCGTAAACCGTAATGATGAGGAGCACCCCAAAGTTTGCTATCCGGCAGCTGCAAAATTGAAGCACGAGAACCTCGTTATTGGGGAAAATGTCGTTGTTATCATAATGAAATAAATTTGTAAGAGAATATAATTATTAATTCCTACTGAGAAGTATTTATATTAAAGAGAGGTCCAATAAATATTCCAGCAACACTCACAAAAAAGTTGTAGATGAAAGGCAAAAAGAGCTCATGATGCAGCTCATAAACTCAAAATTGCTGGGAAAATCTTTCCATAAGGAAAGTGTACTATAACATTCAGAGATGAGTGAAAGGTGTCTATGAAATTAAGGAATGATGAAATAGTCCCAAGTGACTTATGATAATTGCCAATCAAAGAGATGGTATCTCCTAAACTTGCTCACAAGTTACCTTTTTGATAAAACCTTAGCTAAAACTTTATACAAAGAGATAACCAAACTAATAGGTTGACAATCACCATTTCTCAGCGAACTCCGCTTCTTGGGAGTCAAAGAACTAAAAGATACATTTGTGCAATCATTAGCAACACCGTTCTCAAAAAAAAATAACAAAAACTTTCATGAAATCTTGCTCAACAGTCTCCCAACAATCTTGAACAAGTACAATATAAAAGCCATCAAGCCTGAAAGCCTTATCCCTTTGCAATAAAAAACAACTGCTCTAACCTCCTCTTCATGGAAAGGCCTATCCAACCATCTAGCTTTATTTTCATCAATTGAAAACATCTCCAAACCTTCACAAATCTAATCTTAATTAATCAACAATATGCCCCAAACCTCCTTCAAGTTTTTAAATAAATTTCTTATTCCTCTTCCCATTTGCCACTCTATGGGACAATTTAGAATTGTTATCCCCATCCTTCAGCCATTTCATCTTTTGCTTTTCATGATATTTGTTCCCGAAAAATCAATTCTTCAAGCTTAGCTTTCAACTCCACCATTTTCTTTCCTAAGAACCTCATCAAATGATTGCCTCGCCTCTGAACTATCCAACTCTTCGATCCTTTTAGAAATCTCATTTTTTATTTCTTTTAAATCCCCAAACTCCTCCTTTTCCAAGCTTTCAACTTATCCTAAACCATTTTAAGTTTCTTCATGAACCTAAAGCCTCCCCAACTTGAATCCTACATTCACCATTCAAAAAAATTCTTTAAAGAATGATGTTCCAACCTCATGTTCTCAAACCTGAAAGGAGTAGACCCCCACTTAAATGAACAAGTTTCTAAAACAATAGGACAATGACCATACAACCCTAGGAAGCACCTCCTATTTAACATTGGGAAACATTTCCTCTAGTCCCATTGAATAGAGCACCCTATCTAAATCTATTACATATTAGGCTATCCAACAAATTTGAACAAGTAAAACTAGCATTCAACAAGCGAGAATCAATCAAATCAAAATCTCTAATAAAAGTATCAAAGCCCCTCATGCTCCTAGTTACCCTTTTCCCATTTATTTTCATCAAAAACTTTCCTTATGACATTGAAATTCCCCCTACACACCAATTGGGAGCACAAAACCCAAACTAACTTATCCCAAAGTCATCCTTAAACCTCGGTTTATTAGGACCATACACCCCAGCACCATTTGTGACTATCAAGATTCCCTTAATCTCATAAACACTACAAATTCTCACATTATTGTTTTAACATTCACTATGAACCTTCTCATCCCACATCATTAAAACAAACCCAAAGTACTACATGAAGTTAAAACAACCCACTTCCTACACCTAGATTTCCAAACATTATTTATCAATTTCCTGTCAAGACAGAATATTTTGGTTCTTGTAGGATTACCAACTAAGACTTCTTTAACCACCCCGTTTCTTAATGGAGCTATGAGCTCTGACATTCCAACTAATAATCTTCATTTAGAAAACTTCTTTAACCCTAGCTTCCTTTGACCTACCATCATAATTAATACCAGCTTTTAAATTTTCCAATTCCTTATCACCTTCTTTTAACTGCCCCACCCCTCTTGACCGTCCCCCTAATTAAACTAAGGACAAACAATCAAGAGGAAACATGTAACTTTCAGTTTATGTAATAAGAATTGGTCCATGTTTGAAAATACCTGAAGTTTAGGAAGCAACACATGCCTAGCTTCCTTTGACCTACCATCATAATTAATACCAGCTTTTAAATTTTCCAATTCCTTATCACCTTGTTTTAACTGCCCCACCCCTCTTGACCGTCCCCCTAGTTAAACTAAGGACAAACAATCAAGAGGAAACATGTAACTTTCAGTTTATGTAATAAGAATTGGTCCATGTTTGAAAATACCTGAAGTTTAGGAAGCAACACATGTAACTTCCGAAACAGATATGGATCCATTAACCATATTTTCAAAATTTTCCATGGACACGAGACAAACACTAAAAACAAACATTTTATTCCACACAAGTAAAACAACTAAAGTTTAATATTTTAAATTTTCCAATTCCCTACCACCTTCTTTTTACTGCCCCACCCCTCTTGACCCTCCCTTCTGCCCCAGCAGACTAATTACCCCTAATTAAACTAAGGACAAACCATCAAGAGGAAACATGTAACTCTCATTTAACAAGAATTGGTCCATGTTTGAAAATGCCTGAAGTTCAGGAAGCAACACATGTAACTTCCAAAACCGATATGGATTCATTAACCATGTTTTTGGAATTTTCCATGGACATGGACAAACGCTAAAAACAGACATGTTTTTTCAGACAAGTAAAACAACTAAAATTTAAGGTAGTTTATCACATAATCTACACACATTGCAGCTTATATATATGTTTATATAAATATCTTAAAGTAACCCTGTTTGACACACTGCACTCAGTTCCAATGTGACTGTTCATTTTACATAGGTAATAGAAAATCTGTTGCTCCTTATAGTTTTCTCTCTTTGAAGATTTAGAGACTTCCTGGCGGCACTGGTTCCGAAAGTATAAGAAAATGGAGTAAAATATCAACATATCCTGATTCCTGATTATCCAATTATGCAGTTCTGACTTTAAAAAAATTAAAATTAAAATTAAAATTGACAATGATCGGCAAAAGTCAACAACAATAACCTAACATATGCGAAGACAATGACCAAATTCCAAAAGACAGCCCAAACTAGCAAATACCAAAGGAAAAAAAATAAAAAAAAATCATGAAAACCATTAACTCCACCATGATACAGCTTTAGGATCAAGAATTTGGGTTGAACTTGGGTAGGGATTTGGAAAATGAAAAGAAACAGAAAAAAATGAATAAATAAAATATCTTATATTTTACTCTCCTTTTCCTTTCCCTTTCCAAATCACTACTCAAATTCATAATCCAAATCCAAACACAGCCTTCAGGAAAAACCCAACTTTTTACCAATCAACATATCCAACACGCAATTCTCTAAATGACCAAGTTAAGGATGTTTTTCAACACACCAATTTTTTTACCAAATCACAGCAACCCATCAACACAAACAACAATAAAAAAAACAAAACAAAACCCAGCTCTCCAAATTAACAAAAAACGAGATCTTCATCATAATTTAACTGAGAAGGGAATTCGGAAGAAGATGACAAACCTGTTGAGATTGAGACCCTTCAGAAGATAGAGGTTTCATCTGCTCATGTTGGAAAATGTCTTTACCGTAGAAGATAAATATGAAGATTGAAAAATCCAAACACAGCCTTCAGGAAAAACCCAACTTTTTACCAATCAACATATCCAACACGCAATTCTCTAAACGACCAAGTTAAGGATGTTTTTCAACACACCATTTTTTTTACCAAATCACAACAACCCATCAACACAAACAACATTAAAAAAACAAAAAAAAAACAAAACCCAGCTCTCCAAATTAACAAAAAACGAGATCTTCATCATAATTTACCTGAGAAGAGAATTAGGAAGAAGATGACAAACCTGTTGAGATTGAGACCCTTCAGAAGATAGAGGTTTCATCTGCTCATGTTGGAAAATGTCTTTACCGCAGAAGATAAATATGAAGATTGAAAAGGCAAAGAGAAGGATTGCGTAAACTGTGATCGAGTATAGAGTTAGTTTTCTTGGGAAGAGCTTAGTAGCCAACGAATTTCGGGAATGAGGATAATTGCCTCTCTTGTTAACCATCTGTCAGTCTCTTACATGCAGATTCACCTTCTAGGGTAGCCTCTCTTATTAATCATCTTTCAGTCTCTGTTTTCTGTCTCTCAATGTTCGAGCAAAATGAAAGTGGTTAATGAAAATAACTAGAGAGTAGGGTAGAGAATTGGGTCGGGGCCATTAAACCTTTTTTGATTCCTTTTATTCCAAAATTAAATAAACCATTTGAAAATTAAAACTCACGACTCAGGTCTATTTTGGGAATGTGGTAAAAATCAGTTTTTTTGGCTTTTAATTAAGATTTTTGAATTTTTATAAAATGATTTGGAAAGTTGGTAAAAAGTTATTTTTTTACTTTTTCAGATAATATTTTTCTAATTTGTCATGTCATGTGTACAACTATAGAATTACCAAAATGCCCTCACCCAATATATATTGGCCTGCATGATCCTGCACCAATCATGAGGGTAATATTGTAATTTCATATAGTTGATTATAATCAAATACCAAATCAAATTTTGTGGCAAAATACTAGCGTCTGGCAGGTTGGTGTTCTCAGCAGACGCTGGGTTATAATCTGTTGCCAAAATAGCACTCAACATATATACAAAATATGTTTTATTTTGAACACTTGGTTCATAAATTTAAATTTAAATTTATATTTTCTTTGTCAAAAAGTTTAGGCGTTTAAATATTATGTCCATAAGAACAACTTCATATAAAATAACCAAAATACCCTTAGTATGATTCACGTCTCTCTCTTCCTATTTCTTCACCACTGTTGAATCTCATTTCCCCAAAACCCCCCTCTTTCTCTTCATCATCTCCTCTCTCTCTCCATACATTCTATTTCAAATTGATCTTGCCGCCCTCAACTCCCCTTTCATTACCGCCGCCAAAACCCTAACCTCCATTCATACCTTTAACTCCTCCGTCTGCCACTCACCACTCACTACCTCATCGTCCATGTAACGCCTAGAAAATATTACAAGAAGATCATCCCACAACAGATATAAATTAATAACAGATGATTAAATATAATGTTCTTCCATTCATAAGGTTTCATCTCTTTACAAAAGTGCAACACATACACTAATGCATTTACAAATTCTAACCATGAATCTATAGCATGTGTCATCGGTACAAGATATAAAATAAGAGTGAACAGATATGGTAATGCCCTACTGGCTACAATTTTTCAAGACAGTATTTGGTTACAACAAAAGTGAGATTAAACTCAATACAAATAAAATCGTAGGCTTGTACAAAATAAATACAACAATAACAAAAGCAGAAGCTCTTGGCTCCTAATCCTCCCAAGTTATTGCCTTGGTGGAGGCATGTCATCAGCACCTGAAAATGATTTTCTACATAAGGTGAGCCAAAACCAAGTAAAGATACTCTAACACAGTGCATGAATCTTAACAGAGTTATAAGGTGAATGCATATACAATGCCCGTGTCAAAACATTTTATATCACTTTCCAAAACCATGTTATGCTAAGTTTATGTCATAATTCATACAATCAATTCCTTTTCAATAGAAAACATGGTAGTGGATACAAAATTGAGAATCTTTAGGACGTGTCTGGAAGTAGGCTACAAACATTACCAATTTGTCATTTTTACCGGTATTAATCAGAAGGCTCGACACCTAACCGCGCGGGTTTCTGGACTTTCACCAAAGACACACAGGCCAACATAATTTTACAACTACGCTTTTACCTAGATTCACCAAGGTATCCACCCATTTTTCTCAAAACGACAACAATTTCAATGTATTGAATATGTTACGATACTCAATGCAAATGGATGATAAAATAGTTTCAATTCACCTAATTCTCATACAGTTTCTACAACAATCATAGCTATCCTCTATCAATAGCCCAAAACAAATATATCTAAACAGATAATTACGTTTCAACAGAGATATATTTTCTAATATTTCCAAGTATGAGTGATAATTCATATCCAACTCTACCATCTTCATCATCATTATTCTAATTCCATAAAACCAACATCAATTCCATATTTTCTTTACAAAAATCAAATTTTCACAATTTAGGACAAACCCCCCACCCCTCTTTTTCTTTAAAAAACAATTTCTATGATAAAATCCACCCTTTAACACAACCCATTCATTTTTATAAAACCACAATCATATACAAGAGCCCATTAAGGAAAACCCATCTTTTGATTTCAAAACCAAACCCTAAATTTTATCCAAAAATCCCCAAATCAGTATTTTGTTGAGAAAAGCAAATAACTAAGTTAAAAATCATAAAAAAATATCGAAGTAATCCCTACCTCAAAGACAATAACCAAGAAAACACAAGAGTTGAAACTTGACGAAGTTGAAAACAAACTTTGCTCCGATCAAAATGAAGCTCTAGGTGAGCTCTATCTTTTTAACAAAGGAACTAGGTTGGAAAAATTTGTGGATCAAGGTGTATTTGGGCCAAATATTCAAGAACTAGAGAGAGAAATGAAAGAGATCTGAGAATTTGGAGTGTTTAGAGAGAGATATATATATAAAAAAAAAAGTGATCCAAAAATGTGACTTTACAGACTGATATACACGCAGACTTGTAGACACCCCACCACCAACCTCCCTCCAAGAGCTATGGCAGCTACGCCATTCTCCGGTATGTCCGGAAGTAGCACACAAACAGCCAAATACCCACCCAAGAACCTAAGAACCTTCGCTCCACTGTATATGCCCCTGTCCAAAGCTCTGGGGGTTTTAATCAGAAAAGGGCACTTGAAGCCCCTAGAGCCGCGGCCATTGCCGGAAAAACTTCCCTCTACCCACAACCCAACCAAATACTGCTCATTTCACCAACAGTACGGTCATGACACCAACTAGTGCTTCCGATTACGCCATGAGATTTAGGATCTCATTGATCATGGGGTGATCGTACCTCCCGAAAAACCCAATGTCACAACCAACCCTCTCCTACCACACAACCAAGCTCCACCTCCCAAACGAATCAACTTCATCCAGACTGGGGTTGTGTCTTATGATCCTAGCATATATATCACCCCGTCCCACCTACCAAAGTCGGAGGTGTTCCTGCCCGACAGCACTAACCTGTGCATGTTGGACATCTCCAGAACCCAACCTGAACCAACGGTGGTGACTGTCGAAGACAGAACAAGGGAGATTTCAGAGGAGAATAGGATTGTTGAGTCAGAATCTAAGGAATCTGGGAGTTTTGCTGGGAAGGTATACAGTCCGAGCGACTACATTCTGTCAGTAGGCCAGATTGGGCCAAATGTGGAATTGCTAGTAGAGGCAGAGCTTTGTGTGATACAGGGGGATGAATTTGGTCAGAGAATAGATGACTTGGCGGCTGTGAAAGGGGACTTTGCCAACCTCCAATTTTGTAATGAACAAGATCCAGAGGACATGGCGGTCAACTGGTTAGATTTTGAGGAGTCAACGGAAGTTACCAGGTGGCTTGATGACCTACCAGACGTAGTCGAAGAATCTTAGTTGGAACGGGGCCCAGCAGGGGCAAGAACATCAGTTATGGCCGGAAAGGCCGAAGAACAGAGTACATTACTGTAGAGCGCCGATGTCAAGGAATTTACTCGGGATCTGGGCATTTTGAATACAGGAATTATCGAACAACTAGCTGTACTGACGAATTTGGAACAGGAAAGGTTTGAGGATTCTGAGAGAATCAGGAAAGCTAAAGCACATGAGGGGATTGAAAAATGCTGTGTGCATGAGGACAGAGAATGCTGCGAGCATGTAGATGGAAAATACTGCGAGTACAATTATACCAGAGCCGGACAGGTGTCTGTCAGCTGCCGATGGAATGTGGTGGGAGGACGATGATTTATGTCTAGCCCACAGGGATGAGGATTGGGGGAATAACCAGCCAGACGATACCTGGTATATTGGTGAAGTCGACCATATGACTAGGAGTGGGCGGTATTTCAAGCCCCCATATCTAGATCAGCTAGAAGCGTCCGGGAAGGACAGGGAGGCGGAGAAATAGAAGGAGAAGCTACTTGAAGACGAGGCCGTGCTCAAGCAGTTGAAAAGGACACAAGCAGATATCTCCATCTGGGGACTACTTATGGCATCGCGAGTGCATCGGTAAGCTGTCTTATCGGCCATGGACAAGGCCAAGCTCTCAATAGACACCACGCCCGAACAGTTGGTGGGCTTAGTTTTTCCAGAGCTACCCTGATGTTGACTTTCTCCGACAAGGAATTGCCACCTGAGGGTGTGAACCATAACAAGCCACTCTACATCTATGTGGAGTGTAGAAACAAATGGATACCTGTAGTACTTGTCGACACAGGGTCCGTTATTAATGTGTGCCCGGCAAGAACTGCATATGCAATCGGTTTAAAGATTGCGGACTTTGTGCCGACAGCCCAGGTGATTCGGGCATATGACAACATGAGCAGGGAAGTAATGGGGACAGTGAAAAATCAGACCCAGGTTGGCCCAAGACAGCATGAAATTGACTTTTACATCTTGGAAGTTCCTGCGACCTTCAATCTACTTTTGGGGCGGCCGTGGCTGCACCAGGTGAAGGCAGTCTCGTCCACCTTGCATCAGATGGTGAAATACCCCCATGGGAAGGGAGTAGCCATTATTTTTGGAAATTCATCGATCTATCCACCGCCAGAAGTATCTACGCCAGTTTTGGAAATTGAGCACGGTATGGAGGATGTGTTCTTGTTGGGTTTTACCTTGGCCGAGGCTCGGATCGTTCAGAACATCATGGCTGTTAATGAGGGGGTGTATGTCAGTGCTCAATTAGTATACCTCATGAACAAGCTTCAACATATTCCCGGGATGGGATTGAGAAAGAGTGGCCGGAAGGGTGTCGCAGCATTGGCCGAAGTGCCGCACAACCCACACACCTTTGGCTTGGGTTATCTGCCCACCAAGGAGGATTGGGTAAGGAAAAGTAAGGAGATGGCTGGGAGAGCCTGAGTGAAGCAGGCGGGGAAGCCTTTTGAGTTGATGCACCGGCCCATTCAAGGTACCCTAAACGGACACTTCGTCCAGGAGGGGGAGGACTTTCTGTTCTGTGGCTTCCCAAAGCCATGACTGAATGCCCATGACTGAATGTCGAGAGGAGGCGCCTACCAGGTTTTGAGATCTTCTTTGACCTACAGTTATCCGA